CAGTGTCTGCAAAAGCAATGCTTTTAAACCTCTTTTTAGAACTGCAGGTGTGAAACATTTCTTTACCCAGAGTGATGAGTTTTGAAAGGCTATAACTTAGGTTTAAGAACCGTGTGAAAAAATTGAAAAGAGTTTCAACTTGCCTAATATAGTTCCTGCCCCATGGCCAACTAAAAAGTATTAGCATTTTAAACATCACTGTACCATGGTATTACCACAGTACTTGTCTTTGTAAGGGATATGCATACAAATCCTGGTGCATAGATGGCCACCTCTCTTCTTATGAATATCTTCATTCATCTCTTTTCATTCATTCATCTCAATACTTTAGACTCTTCATTTCATGGCTGGACTGCTGCTACTCACTGTTTGACAGCTTCTTGTACCTTCCACACATCTCTTCAAGCATATCGAACATATTCAGATACTCCCATGTTACACAGAGGGTTCTCACTCAGCGCCATAAATGTAACCGTCATTGCCCATCCACAATTCTTCAAGATTCAAGAAAAACAACAAAAAAAGACATGAAGAATAGCTTAGCTCCACAACTCCCTTGTAAAACCTACAGTGTTAGCGTTTACTAGAATTGGGCAAAGGCCAGCTTAAGACATTAGTTTCTTATTATTTAATTTATTTGAAAATCATGTATTTGTGTTTGTTCATTAACACCTTTGTCTTTTGAACACAATGCTGGTTCTTTTCAGATAAAATGTTTCGAATATTTTCGTGAATAAAATTCCGAAGATCTTCTTGCAGTCCTTTCAGTATCGAAGTAAACAGAATATTTTTTGCGTAAAAAAAGTTACACAACAGCCAATTCATTTTAATAAGAAGTGCCTCTCATTGTTGAATTTCTCTAAAACCCGAGGAGTAAGGAGAATGACTGCTGTAGGTCTCCATATTCCATGATTTGTTTGTGTCAGTTTTCAGCAGATGATTTTCTATCTACAGAGTTCAGCTCCAGCACTGCTCCAGCACACTTGCCGGTAATTATCACATGCTCCTGAAGATCTTAATTAGCTGGTTCAGGTGTGTTTGATCAGGGTTGGAGCTGAACTTTGTAGGAAGGTAGATCTCCAGGAACAGGGGCCTGCCCTGTACCATGATGGTGGCTGAACAAACTCGGGGTTACAGGATTAGTTTTGAGTTGACAAAATCAAAGCAGTCCAATCCGGCTTTGTTGGTACCATGAAGCTCATCATCAACTTTCTCTGTCAACTCAGGCTTGATCCTGAGTTAATGGAGCACGTGCACATGAAAGAGTGACATCAGTAATGAACAGCCAATCAGATCCCTTGAAACTGTGATTCACTTCTTGAGAGAGAGTCAGTGCGATTCACTACCAAAGATTAAAATATTGAACAATATGAAGAATTTAAACACATTTACAAGATGAAACAATCTATCCATGAAAGAGGAAAACTTTTTACTTTTTGACATCTTGCCTTATAAGTGCAAGTAAAAGTTGTAAAGTTAATTCATAGAGTTGCTAATATTTATAGGTATAAAACACTTAAAAATCTAACCTCATATGTAGTCATGTTTAAAGCTATTGATTCTAAAATGTATTTATATTGCATATTATCTATGTTTACTTCAGACATCTTTAAAAATGTTTTACTATGTAGCGTCCTTTAATTTGGAGTAAGAGAAACTGGGGGAGTGTCTTTATTGTGTCAGACATGTCACTTTGCTTGAAGCTGATTGGTCAAATTTCACTTTGAGATCTCTAAACCAGAACATAACCTGCTCCAGATCAGGTTAGCTGTGGAGTGTAAGTTACTAAGGCAATTAATGCCTCTAAAAGCCAAGCCACTTTTTATGGTACCTAAAACCCAGGATTGGTGCAAACTAAACTGAAACTTACCTGGCTAGCCAGCTAATCTGGCTTCATGGTACAGGCCCCAGGAGTGGGCACCCCTGCTATAAAGTGTTTTTAGACCAGCAAGGAAAAATGTGCATATTTTACATTTTGTTTGTGTTACAAATTCATACGTAAACACAATTGTAAGCAGATATCCTGAGATAACAATGTTGTAGAATTTAGAGGGAGTTTACACAACACCATGGTAAACTAAAAATGATAAACTTTGACAACAGCGTTTTGGGGGACTGAAAATGTAAACTTCTGAAAACGGGTTTCAAAGTGCAAGTTTTCGAAAACGATGCCATTATTTTCTCTGTGTAAACTACAAAAACACAAATTTGCGAAACATTTGTGGTGATGTCATGTGCTTGCGCATTACGTGTTCAGTCTACGAAATGTGCACAGACGCATAGTGTTTCTTTACAAAATGACATTGCTAACTACAATATTATACTATAATAGTATATAACACTAAGTGTTTTAGTCATTTTCACATCCATGTGAATAGGGATCATTTTGACAAAGTGTACGTGAAACTTTTAAAAAATACAAAGGAAAAACCTTTCAGTTTTTAGTACATTGTGGTTGTGTAAACATAGTTGCACACTAGTAGGTAATGCAGCCAAACATTATTTTTGTCTGGATTGTTTTAATCTCTAAAATATATAAACTCTCTGAAAATTTTGTGTCAGCAAAGAGATGGGACTATGATAATAGTAAAGACCACATGACAGGGAGCTCATCATGTGGCAATGGTCAAAGAACAAAGAGACTTCTGAAAGTCAGAATTCAAAGGCAGTATAAGAGTAATAACAGATGATGCATCACATGCTTGTAGATAGTATTTATTATATTCATATTCATATCTTATTTTTAATTTATATTTATGAAGTAGTATGACTCCACCAAGATTAGTATTATGTACCAAAAGAAAAAAAAATCATACAGTCTTTTGATATTGAGACACCGTAATAAACTCAGATACAGAAACTGTAATAGTTAGAAAAATAAAAGTTTACCACATAATATTCATGTTCATGTGTGTGCTGTTATTTTAATTAGCATTTTGGGAAATATTTCAATACTATGCTGAGAACAAACCCAGAAAAACAGGTTTTTAAACAGTCTGCAGTCAGTCTTAGTAAATCATAAAGCATTTGTCAGTAATATTATACAGCTGAAACATTGTTTGTCTGCATTTGTGGACATGTGTGAATCAAGGGAAACCTGGCATAGGCCATTGCACAGTGACAGGCTCACTGCCAGCAGGTGGAATTAGCTAGATAAAGAGAGAAAAAAGACAGAGCAAATACAAAGAAGAGGAGAAGAAGAGTGATGGAAAAGCTGGTAAAGAGAAGGAGCCCATTTTAGAAAGAGATGATTGTTTTGCTGGAGATGGAGTGAGGTATACGTGGAATAACATTGTAAGGCATGTGTGGAAGGATGGATGCTTGGATAAACTAGATAAAAAAATAAAAAAAATGAATAAAAATAACCACAAACACACACTATATAATAAAACATACTGTGTACTTAAAGGACATATAATGCAAGACTTTGGTGGAATAGATCATAATTAGTCATGTTTTTATGTGTGTGTATTATTGCACCACTATTTGGAATGGTGTTTCTTAGTGTCTGAGAGCTCATTAGATTTGTATTTTTATTTGTTTTGTATCTATTCTATCTATTTAATCAGCAACAAATTCCTGAACATAATGAAATTTGTGTTTTTGTTAACATATTAACAAGTTAGATTTAATTTAGTAATTGTGCTCTCTGGGGTCTGATACAGCATTAGACTGGAATCAAAAATATTTTGAAATTTTAAAAATCGCTGCTTCATCGGAATAGTACGAAACTCACTGACTTTTATGGCAGTCACTATGTGACCACAAAAAAAAATCGTGTGCTTGATTCGAAAAAGCTAAATGGTCATAAAAAAAATAGTCACACTTTTGTTGTTCGCTGTCAAAAATGACCTCCATTAGAAATCAATGGAAAATACACAAAAATATGAAAATACATAGAATTCTTTGTGTGTACAATATACAAATCATTCACGATGCAGAAAAAATCTGAATGATACACGCATTTATGAACTATTGTGACTGTAACACACAGCATGTTTTTGCAAATACTTGAAATAAAATCAATAATTTAGCCACCATGGAGTAAAAACACAGACACCAAGGAAGGGGTGACACTCTAAAACTTCCAGTGTACAAAACAGACACACACACACACGACATGGGGTAATGTCCTGAAAAGTCACCTTCTCCTTGTAATACCTATGTCATTCCTTTGTCATTATACAAATGTATGTCCTCATTTGTCACAAAAATGTGCACACACACACACACACACACACAGCACTATTATACACACACAAATGAACTGGTGTGGCTGTTACAATATGGCAAAATTGAGCCAGAAGACTCAAATAAGAGGTTGAAATTAGATTGATTAACCTCTGATAAAACATTCATGTTCATATTTGTTACATTTTTGTTGAACTCTGATGTTATGTGTAATAAAATTTATTTCTTTGTGTTCAGGTTTGACTGTAGTAAAATTTATACAAAAACATTTCAAACTAACATTAAAAAAAAAGAAAAAAAAAAATCTAAACCTTTACAAAAAGTTGTCTTTGAGAATGTCTAAATATAAAACCAAATCCACAACTTGACATAAAAGTATTTATGTCTAAAAACAACAAGAGAATTTATAAGTCTTTTATATAGAGCTCTATAGGAATCTGGTGGCTAAACCATGGAATTTCAGATGTTTTTCTTTTTTTTCTCCCACCAGATGGAACTAATCTGCCTTGGAAATGGATTTCAAATGGATTTTAAAGGCATTGTCTCTATTTTAACACAAAATACTGCAATCATTGAAATGTAATAGAAAAAAATATTAGATTTTTTTTTTATTATTTTCAATGGGAAAAATGTATCATAATTATTCCATATTAAATAGTACCATGAAATTCTCTCAAAATACAAAAGGAAAAAGAAAAAATATTATCGAACAAAAATATATTACATTAATTTCACTGTAAAAAAAAGAAAAAAAAAAAAAAGTGTCATTTCAGGTGCCCGGTCACTTTTGACTGTGAACAACACAAGTATGACTCCCAATGAACAATACCAGTGGGTTAAACTGCAGATCTGAGAATACTGGGTCACCTCTTGAATATGCTATTTTATTACTTTATGCCTCTAATATGTGAGAAGCAACAAAAAGGTTAGATTCAATTAACATGAGTAAAGTACTGAACAATCAAGACTTTTGTGTGGTTTGCATTTTGGAGAACACTTTTGTCTTGATAAAGTTGACAAACAAACAGCAGGTTTATGCTATTTATTTTCATTGGTCTTTAGTAGGTATTGAAATTCAGGTGTAACATTATAATGAACTGTGATGTGTTCAACTGTAATTTGTTTTCAAATACATATTGCAACACAAGCCTAAAAGACACACATGCACATTACACTAGACAACACAGACAACATCTTAGAGGTTCGAGTTATATATACTAAACATTTATAAAACAAGGTGAAAGAGAATGATGCATATGATGGAAAACTTCTTTCTAATTCTATTCTAAGTATCTTTTTCCTCTTAAGTCAGTCCTTTGGCTAGCCAAGCTGATGGGTTACAACCAGTGTTCATGTGCAGTGGGAATGAATGCCTAATCTCAGACCGCTGAGCTGGAGAGTTTGAGCCACCCCACCTCAGTATAGGCCCCTGTGATATACCAGTACAATGCTGCCATCAGTTTGGTCCAGGATGTCTGCACTTCTGGGGTAAAGCACTCTCCGAAATCCTCCTCAAGTATCTCCAGAATAACCCCACTTAAGATCTGTTGTCAAAAGAAATAAAGTGAAATGTTAAGAAAAAAAAACAAAACATTTAACATAACAAAGACAGATCAAAGAAATCATTAGCGGGCTTTAGTAAGGGTTCAGTAACTTTCTTCTGGCTTACAGTGTGTTATATTTGCAGGATTTAGAATGAAGCCAGACCAAAGTAGGTGAATGGGTTACATATTTGAATAACTCTTAGCACGCATACAAACTCATGCTCTCCATTCTTTTTCTACCTCTCTACAACCTATCCTTATCACTTTAGTCAGTGCTACTTCCACTTAGCGATCTCAGTAAGAATAGCATAGAACAACAGAACACCACGTCTCCCCCATTGTGTGAAACAATTCCACTTCCAATTAATTATGATTCTCACCATATGAACCTATAAAACATACTGTAGGTTTCCATATTACAGCTAGTTCCTTTCAATAATTAAGTAATTGTAATTATATTAATTAAATTATAACTCTGAGGAACATTTCACTTCTCCATGAAGAATGTTATTGTTATACATAACAATATAACAATAACATTACTGTATTGTGTAGCCACACACAATGTATGTATATGCTCTTTAATTCATAACCACTGTGTGTACTCTTTGATTTACTTTCATAGCCATTCAACCAAACTGGTGGTTTACCCTTTCAATAATTATTAGGGGAATTATTAATTCAACACTTATTGAATCCGTTAACGTTCTTATTCTTCTTCTTCTTCCACTCTGGAAGTCTATGGCAGCCCATAGAACGCTTGTGGGAAAGTTATGAAATTAACCACTGCAAGTTTGGAGTCTCTAACACCAGCACTTGTCCAAAGTTTCACTTATGTTTATGCGAATAACTTTTGAAACTTAAATTTTAGAAACAATTTTTTTTTCTCTGATTGCTGGGCTCATGCTGAGTCGAATGAACACCAAAATGTAACATACTATGGGTCAAGATTTTTCGCAGTTTTTAATATTTCAAAAAACCTATTTTTTCGAACTTGTCTATATGAGGCAATATCTCTGCAACACTTTAGCTTATTGAGACCAAACTTGATGCATGTTATAATAACCATGACCTGAGGCTACATGCAGAGTTTCGGTGCAGTGCCACCTAGTGGCCAGGAGATGTGAAAAATTGCAATTTTGCCATTTTGCCAATGGCTATTTTGCATATAACTTCTGAATGGTTAGGTCAAAAATCACAAAACTGGTCTCTTTAGATTCAGTGCAGCATGCTGAGTCGAACTTTAGTTCCCATGTCAGCCATTTTGGGCGTTGGCCAATTTGAATTTTGTCATAAAATGATTTACTTTACGAACGCATTGGCGTATCATTACGAAATCCGGTATGTGCTTTCAGCACCACGCCCTGACAGTACTTAAAAAAGTTTCGAGGCAGCGCCACCTTGTGGTCAAAACCTATAATGAAATTTCCAAAAATGCTAATAACTTTTGCTTCAATTAGCCTATTGTAATGAGACTGGTCTTGATACAGTCATGGCCAAAAGTTTTGGCAGTGACATAAATTTTGTGTTTTGCAAAGTTTGCTGCTTTCCTGCTTGTATAAATTGCCAGTTTTGCTTGGCCTAGAACAACATTCAGAAGTTGACGAACATTAAGCTGTTGTGGTGTTCATTCACATTGTTTCTACATTATCGTATAGAGTGATCAGATGCATTTTAAATAATTGATAAAAGCTTCAGTGGCCAAAAATATGAACTTTTCATAATAAAACAGATTTCACTGTTTTTTGATCCTGACACAAAATGACCAGCTAACATTAATTGACTAATCATATCAGCAGCACATGTGAAAGTGTGAATGAGTACTAGTCAGGTAAAATCACTATCATACCAAATAGATTGTAAGAGCAGACTGATGGAGGGAAGAAGCGCTTCCAGTCATTGTGTTCTTGTTAGCAATGTTTACCTCCAAAGAAACACGTGCAGCCATCATCACTTTGCATCAAAATGGCCTCACATGCAAGGAAATTGCTACAAAGAATATTGCACCTGAAAGAACCATTTACCGGATCATCAAGAACTTCATGGAGAGAGGTTCGACTGCAGTGAAGAAGTCTTCAGGACGCCCCAGGGTGTCCAGCAAGCGCCAGGACCGTCTCCTCCTGAGGAATC